AACCCGCCACCTTAGGTGTACGTGGCTGGCGCCTTAGCCGGTTGAGCTATAGGCGCCGAGCCTGGAGTTTCATTTCTTAGGTATCATTTATCGAATCATTGATGATGTGATTGAACTTAAATCTCCAGCCACAATCCCCTCCCTGGAGATACCATGTAGTCCCAAGCCCCAGCTTTCTCATCAAGTGATTGATGTTTTTGGCATGACTCAGCTCCCATCCTAAGTTACCTCCTTGGCATAAACTCAGGTCTGATCCAAGGACCTATTATGATGAACAAAGACATTCCTGTTACTCAGGAAATTGGGACAAAAACCCACACAAATTATTGTACAATACCCTCACACTGAGATATAAAAAGAAGTGTGCCCATATTGGTACAAGTAGTATCTACCTCAGTCTTTCTCTGTTCTATATATGATGTCTGACATTTAGTCAAAAAATTGAAACATAAAAGTTCTAGGTAAAAAAAGAATCTTTTGTCAAGAGAAAAACAAGAAGATTCAAAGAAGACACCAATATTGGAATGTGTGAATCTGACACTGACATAATAGAAAGATAAAAAGTAAAAGTTGATAACATCCAGGAACAGATAAGGAATTTTAGAGATAGAATCTATTTTTTTAAAAAGGGATGCAGAAATGCTAAAAATGAAAGTCACAATATTGGAGGTTAAGGATTACTTTGATGAGTTCATTAAGACACAATTGGGTAAAGAATAGGTACACTTGGCAAAACATCAACAGACATTTTCTGAACAGAAACACTGAGACAAAGCCAAAAAGAATGAAAAGGATTGGAAGTAGAAGAATAGAGTTTCTAAGCGTTGACACAATATCAAATAGTGTAACACACATTTAATTGGAGTCTCATAAATATAAGAAAAAGAAAGAGGGCAGCGCCTGTGGCTCAAGGAGTAGGATGCCAGTCCCATATACCAGAGGTGGCAGGCTCAAACCCGGCCCTGGCCAAAAACTGCAAAAAAAAAAAAGAGAGAGAGAGAGAGAGAGAGAGAAATTAAAGAGAAATAAGTGCAGTATAAATGGCCAATAGCTTAAAAAAAAACCTTTTTTTTTTTTTTTGAGACAGAGTCTTACTTTGTCACCCTCCTTAGAGTGCCATAGCATCACAGCTCACAGCAACCTCAAACTCTTGGGCTTAAGCAATTGTTTTGCCTCAGCCTCCCAAGTATCTGGGCTAGTTTTTCTATTTTGGGGGGAGACAGGGTCTCACTTCTGCTGGTCTCCACTCCTGAGCTCAAGCCATCCTCCCACCTAGGCCTCCCAGACTGCTAGGATTATGGACATGAGCCACCGCACCCAGACAGTTTTTAAAAATTAAACCACAGATTTAAGAATATCAGAGAACCCTTAGCAAGATAACAAGAAATAATATAAAAATTTTAAGAACACCTAAATACATCATGTTCACACTGATTTGAATCAAAAAGAAAAACATTAAAGCAGAAGAAAAAGAAAAATTATATACAAAAGAACACAGATAAAAAATTCAGTAGACTTTTCATCAGAAACTACATGATCCAGAAGAGAATGAAAATATATTTTTAGAATGCTGAAAAAATTATCAACTCAGAATTTCATGTACATCCAGAATGCCTTTCAGAAAATGAAGGCAAAATATTTTTGCAGAAAAACAAAGCTGATCTTATTCATTGGAAGCAGATCTGCACTATAAGAAATGCTAGAGGAAGTTCTGCAGACAAAAGGAATAGATTACAAGATAGAAATTAGCACTATGCAAAGAGAGAATGAAAGAAATGATAAAAAGTGAGCATGGCACCTGTGCAAGGATGATACTCAAATTCATGAAGCATTTCTTTTTTTTTTTTTTTTTGAGGCTGTTTTTCAACTTTCCCTTCAATCTCATTCATATTATTTGCCATCCACATTCTGAATTCCGTTTCTGACATTTTGACAATTTCCTTTTGGTTGAATCCCTTGCTGTGGCTCTATTGCGATCTTGTGGGGATAATGGACTAGCTTGTGTTTTCCTGTTCCTCTCATCTGAAACCTCTTTTCTCACCTCAGGGCAGACAGGTTTGCAGCTCATCTGTTCCCAAAGAAGGAGAGGTCCTCCAATGGCACTTTGTGTCCTACTCTGGAAGACTGACCTGGTAAGAGAGGAGCAGATGGAACAGATGGATGTGTGGAAAGCCTGCAAGGCAATGATTCTGTGCTTTCCTTTGCCCAGTCCAAGCAGGTGATGATCTTCACACATAGTGATGGGTTGTTTCCTCAGGCAGCTGTTGGAAGCTCTGGTTGGGGCAGGGTGAGACCCTCTCCACAGGGGCCAGCATTGCAGGAAATTGCTCTGCCCAGGTCTCTCTGCCCCAGTGGCAGCTGGGTGAGGCTAAATGGGCGATGACTGGGTGTCAGGGTTATGCAATAGTTGGGTGTGTTAACTAGAATTTGACATCCCAAATAAAAAATATCTTTTTGTCATGTTATGTATCCTCAAACTTTTTCAGCCACTGAATTCTTAACTCTGAATAACTTCTCCTGATCATACTCTTGGCAGTTCTGTAGACTTTCCCCTGGTCTAAACTTGCTCTTTCTTCACAAACCACTGTCCATTTTTTCTTTCTTTTCTTTT